TTGTAATACTTTTGTTAAGTGTAAGTTATTTCAGAGTGAAAAGTTTACTTTTGAAAGTTCTGCTATTGTTTCTTTGTACAGATTGATAGGATCTTCAGGTAGAAAATGTTTGGCAGATTAGAATTCATGAAAATATTTTACACATTGTTTAGTAAATTAGTTGTAATTAAATTCTATTCTATTAAGTCTTTTATATGGTGATAAGATGAAGTTAATTGTGTATATTATAAGTTGCGCCATGTCTCTTCCTCTCCAGTTTTTTAGAAAAATCTATACTATATAAATAGCACTATATAATTCTTGTTCTTAAGTAATCTTGTGATTCACTATGAAGTCAGGGAGAGATAATTTCTTTATTATTAATATTGTTTTTGTCTTTAAATTATGTAATTTTTTTTCAGTAATGTAAATTATTCTTTTATATGGTCTGGAGCATTTTCTAAATTGTTTAGTAGTTTATAAAATATAGTTTTATCTTTGTTATATTGTGAGAAGAAGGTTTTTAATACTTCTTTTTCAAAGGCAACTGTACTTCTTTCAGATTTGTTAAGTAGTTTAACAATATTAAGGCATCTTTGGGTTTAATCAAATATTGTGTGTAATTGTATATTGTGATTGGTAATAAATTATGAATAGAATCTTCTAGGTCATTCTCCAGATTTTGAGTTTGTGTTTTATTATACATAATTTCAAAAAATTTTTGTCTTACTATTGGTATTTTATTTACATTAGTTGCATGTTTATTTTGTATTTCCTGTATTTCAAACTAGTTTTGTGTTTTATAGTCATGCTATATAATTGGTTTTCTTTGTTTGTCAGCTGAATTATATATCTGCTAATCATTTTTAGAGGGTGAGAAGGTTATGTATTTTTTTGGAAGTGCAGAAGAGTTTTTGCAAGAAGAGTTAAAGAATGTGTTTAGTGAAATATAACTTGTGTTTTCTATGTTAACAGTTTTTTCTATCGAGTTGATAGTATTGACATATAGTTCTTGGTCTTTTTGATTGAGTGTTATATTGTCCATACTGTTTGTCATTTGTTTTATTCTTTTTTGTTACGGGTGAGAAGGAATAGTGTTAAAAGTTTGAGCAACGGCTGTAAATTTTCTTGTGTTATAAGAGATATTGATACTGTTAAAGGTAATTAGCACTGCGTATTCAGGATTATTGATAATGTTTTCTGTGAAGGTATTTTGTTTTTATTATTTAGAAGTTATGAAGAGGAAAAAAGTAAGAAACTCTAGAACTCTTGAAAGTGTAGTGATTTTTCTAAAAATGTCATGTTTCATAACTTTGTTTGTTTTTTGGTTTTCAAAAAGAAGACTGCTAAGGCTTTTAATATTGAAGTATTTTCTTCAGGAGGTTGAACTCCTAAAAAAATTTTTTTGTCTTTTGCGTTCATAAGATTTTTTGAATTTTTTTGATTTTTTGTTTTTCGATTTTTGTCAAATACAGGAGAGAATTTTTTTTTTTTTTTAATATTTGCTTATTAATTAAAACTTTTTATATGTGGCAACAATTGATAATTTTATATATGTCAATTGTTATAATAGGAATATATGTAATTAAAGTAATTTAATTTAGATAATCATTTCGTGATATAACATTACTCAATATTTTTAGTATTTTATTTTTATAAAAATATGATTAACATTTAGACATTTTGACAACATTTAGACATTTTGACATCATTTAGACACTTTGACAACATTTAAGCATTTCAACAACATTTAGACATTTTGATAATATTTAGATATTTTATTAACATTTAGACATTTCAACATATTTCTACATTACTATATTATTAGAGTTATTGTCAAAATTATATTTTGACCATAGTATGTCTAAATGTTTGTTAAAATAAACACTGGTCGAAAATTGATAAATCATACACACATCAGGTACCCAATATGTGCATGGTACATCCCTAATATTGGGTATCCGATGTGTGTATGATTTATAAATTTTCGACCAGTAAAACTTTCAACTAATAACTTTAGTCACAAAGACAAAGGTAATTCACAAGTAATTCAAAAGAGGCTTTACTAAGAAATTAAAAGATATTTTCACTAAGAAAATTCATTAAGGTTGTCACTAAGACTATTACAAAGAAATAATTTTCAAGAATTATTGCAAATCATGAAGTATTTTTATAAATTACGAGTTTTAGAACTGAAGACTAAGAATAGAATTCAGCCCTTTATATACATATTTGAAGTTATAATAGATTATGCTGTAGACTACACTAATGCATATACTATTAATTATACTAATGTATACATTATCTATTATGCTATCTACTACACTGTCTATTGCACTTTTGATTACACTATTGATTATGCTGTAAACTACACTATCAATTATTTCAAAATTTACAGTTGTAATACTAAATAGTTGCACTAATTTCTAATTGTTTTATATTAATAAATTTGTTAATATATACTAAATAATATATGAAATATAAATAATAAAATATACAATAATAAATAATATAATAGAAATAAAAATAAAAAAATACAGTTAACTATTCTCACCAAAATAATTATAAAGTTCCACTTATAATCTATCAAAGTAAGTTCACTAAGGCTCAGATAATAACTTACTGATTCTTTATAATTATATGATTTTATATCCAAAAGTATTTAGTAAAATAAATATGAAGTCTAATAAATTTAATTGACATTAGATTTAAAAAGATTGTACACTCTGGTAATTCCTAAATAATAACAGTATTCAAAATGAATTTGTTATAATTGAACAAATTCCAACTACTCTTCTTTTGGTATATTAGACAAGTTCCTTAATTCTCCTATATAATAGACATAAATCATGGTTATGATTCTATGTCATTGTTTAATTTCTCTCTAAAATTTTGAATAAACATTTTGCATAGATAATTTCCAACTGTCCATATAATCATATGGATATAATGTTAATTCTACCAGTCATTAATAAATCTTGTATATATTTATTCAAGTCTGTTTCAACCATATCTTTATAGAAGAATTTTTCAAAGAACAACTGTCATATATATATCTTTTGAAGTTACAACCAGTAACTTTTTTCAAGAATTTTTGATGGCAATTTATATAATAGTGATTTGTGGTATCCAATTAATCTTTTTATGATACAACTTAAGTAATGAACCATTTATCAGTACTCATAATACTTTTCCATCTAGTGTTCCTAATTTGTAAACTCCCGGATATAAAAGTTCATTAATAAGTATGTCTTTTCATTTAGGATCTTTGTTTTGTAACTTCATATGTAAAAACTTTATTTCCTATCTCATATGTTACAGGTGTAACAATTTATCAATCATAATATTCTTTTTGTTTTAATTGTTGCCTTTTCATTTTAGATTGAGTTTGTCCTTTCACAATAGATAACTCATTAGTTAAATTGAAGAGCCAATTTAACTAATTGGTTTCAACAGTTTCTAATCCTTTTTATAATGGGAATTTAGCAGCTCTGCCATAAACTAAATAAAATGGTTCAATTTTTGTTGTTACTTGTTAAGTGGTCCAGTATGTGAATAGAACAGGAAATATGTTTTCATCCCATTTTTGCATAGTTACAGTTGTTTTGCCAATAATTCACAAAGAGTACATTAAATCATTCAACCAACCCATTTGTAGCAGGGTGATAAGGAGTTGAATATATATGTTTTATATCAAACTTTTTCATTAATTTTTCAATAATTTGATTTCTAAAATGACTTCCTCTATCAGATAATAGTAATTGAGGAACACCTATGTCTACATACACTAGTTAAATATAAAAGAATCACTGTACTGAATGGTGATTTCTATATTAAAAATCAGAATTCCTATACCATAGATCAGCTAAAAACCAGTAAAAATTGACTGTCCTATTGCATCCTATACTGTATCATAAATCAGCTAAAATCAGAATTCCTTTTCAGTAAAGCATATCTTTTGCATTTGACTTGTGGAATAATATCTTTATAAGCAACTTGTTGTGCTGTAGCTTGTGTAATAGCTTTAGAATTTCTCCATTCAAATTTAAGTATAAGAAGCATGTTCGTGAAACAAAAAACCTCATCTTTGTAACTATAACTGTTCAAATGATGAAGGTCAACATATAAATTGTGATGTTAAATGTCCCAACTGTTTATACTATGTACATATCAGTGTTACCATAGTAGCAACCTTTTTTAAAGATAAGATATAAAATAAAAATATCCTGCCTACAGTAAATGCAGTAAGGTTAACACCATTTTTATTTTTGTAATTGGGATTCTTCATTTCAAAACTCTGCCATACACCCAACAGCATATTTATTTACATAACATTTATAACACATTAAATTAACAAAACAACATATTTTAATGTCAATGGAGTCATTCCTGAAATAAACTTTTTATTGATTAATTAGATACTTCATATAATAACGTACTTTTATTTAGTTCATTTAGCTCATTTATATTTTTATTTTTATTTATGCTCAGTTGTAAGTATAAATCTCTTATTTTTAAAAAAAAATCACGCAAGTTTAATTGGAGATACTGAGTCATGGTAATTGGAGATAATGATTCATGGTTACTATATTTGTAATATTTGTAATATCTTTAAATTACAGTAACCAAGTTTTCAAAAAGAATTGGATTCATTTCTGATTTATTGAAAAGAATATAGAGTATTAGTTATTGGAGTACCAAGTTTTAATTTCAGCACTCTTAAATTTCAATCAATTTCTTTTCAAGAATAATTGGGAATGGTTTCTTGTTCTGTACTTAAACCTCTACAGCATTCAATTTTGTATATAATATCCGTCTACAGCAAATGCAATAAAATAATATATGTTCACGATTATTATTATAAAGTATGCCCCATAAAGTAAAATAATTTATTTGCATATTAGGATGACCTACATCATTATCATGTAAAAAAAAAAATTTTGCGCGAATGTAATTCAAAATGCTTTACTATATATTATTATATCTTTTCTTAGCAAGATATTATTTACATAATACACTATTCACCCAACAAAAATACTGATATCAAGTGCCTTTGTCACTGCATGTATTGGTGACCCTATAGCGTACGTTCCACTACTTGTATCTAAAGTCCCATGGCCTAATGCTATAAATGCTCCACTTTGATCAAACCAGACGCAACCAGAATCTCCCTTTTCCATAAAAGGACTATCTTTGGACCGTACTATTATTTGTCGATCTAACCATTTAGAAGGAAATATAGTTTTATTCTGATTTTTGATGGCTTCCATCAGTACACGACCAAATATTCTCTCTTGTTGAAAAAACACATGATAATTTGTTAGAAAATTTGATGATAGAGGTGTTTCTTTTATATACCCGACAGTCAGTCCAGTTTCTCGTCCAATTTTAAGTATAGGTTCTGAAACATTGACTAAATTACTGTTGATAATATTGCCTGAAGGCCGTATAGGCTCAAAAGATGATTGTTTAAATGTGGATTCTGGTATGCAGAAACACTTTGGATTAATATTTCGAAAGTTACCATTTTTAAGTAATTCTAGTGAAGCTATGGCAGCATCAACCCCATAATTTTTTCCATCGATTTCATAATTATCACGTATCCCATTGAAAAATGATCCAAGCATTGTGTCCTTCTTACGCGCATCTTTCAGTATGTTTTCCAGCCTCTTGATTTCAGCGCGAGCTACTTCCGTTCCTTCTTTATCATAATCTACATGTTGACTTTTTTTTAATAATTCTTTTTCTTTTTCTATATCACTTTTAAACTTCCCTACATAGTCTATATAAGCCGGTTGAGAAACCAAACAACGATTTTTAGAACCATCTTGAATGACATGGTGGTTTGTCAAAAAAAAGATTTTTTCCACACTTTCTTTTTTTACAAATGCACCTAAAGTTCCTGCACGAGTAGTGCCAATATTTCCAATACTACAACCAGAAGAAACTGTTGACATATATCTACGACAATACTCCGAGTCTTTGCCAGTTGGACTATAATATCCCTCACGAACATCTGTCTCTATGCCAGCAATTGTTTGGGGAAGAAGTTTGTCACCAAGAGGGATCACACCCTTGCGAATTACGTAGAATACAATAGATGGTCTCTCTTCATAACAGCCGAGAATGATCTTCCAGTCTAAACCAATCGCAGTGAGGTTGCTAAATTGTAAACGAAAGTCTAGCCCAATGTGTGTATCCAGAATACTGTCAAATTTCTTTATGACTTCCCGAGGGAATGGGCTTTTTGGATGACTTGTTGGAACGAAATCTGTAAATGATCCCCACCTGATATAGACTATTGGAAATTCTCCAACAATGTTCAATGGTTCTGTTGGGATTCTGTTAACTATAATATAAAGTTTTTGATTATCATAAATTGAAACTTCCTTAGAGGCTTTTCTCTCAACCTCTTCTCTACCATAGAAGAGATCTTTAACATTTGGGTCATTTAGGATAAGTTGCAACTCTTTTTTTATTCGCATAATGGAGTCGAAGAATGCTATTTAATTATAAATATTGTTCCGAATCATTTCATAATAAATTGATTAATAATTAAAAATTATAAATTAACTATTACATTAAATAAATACCTGCGAATTTCTGATTTGATAAATCAGTTAGAATTTGATCATCTTTGGTAAGTTTATTGTTTTCGATAGAATCTTGAGATTTGACTTCTAATTGAATAAATTGAATATTTTCATTAAAATAAAAATATTTCAAGAGAATTACAAGTATTTTATATAAATTAATTTCTTTTTAATTATTTTCCTTGCGTTTAAATTTGATATAAAGATATATCATATTGATTGAAATAAAAAAATCCTAACCAATATTATTTTTTAAATGTTTACGAATACAAAATTCACAATATTGGGTTGCCTGATACCAATTCTGGCAATTGTTGCATTGTTGTTTTTCTTCAGAATCATTACATAAATCATAATAAGTCTTTAATCGATTAAATAAAAACTTCTTTTCATTTTCTGTGAGAGATGAATCATTTTCAAAAAAATCTTTTAGATATTTTTCTTGCGCAGCGAGTGTTTCATGAATATTGATGTCCAGAGAATAAAATGCCTTATCCCAAACACTTATTAATTTCTCATCCCATTCCATTTCTCATTTATTAATTAAACTTAATAAAAAATAAATAATTAATACAAAATTTATTGTTATTTACAAATAAAAATATAATATAAAATTACCGTGGGTTATGTTTTTAATAATAGCAATAGAAAGTTTAATTGTTTAAATTGACTTTAATTATTTATTAGGAATTGGAATATTATATGTGCGCAGGAAACTATCTAGGCAAATAATATTAAATTATGTTAAACCGTGAGTTACAAGAAAAAATGGAATAAAATGATTAAGTAAATGGATTGGACGCTTTTAAATGAGCAATTAAGATGATTAATTTTTCTATTACTGAATTTTTAAGTGTTCATGTATCATGTGATGTGATGTGATAATTTATTCTTTATATAAATTATTTTTTTGGAAGAAAAATTTTTGAAAATAATATCGAATTAGAGATTTCTTCAGCTACAACTGCATTTACAATCATGAAACACACAATCAATAAAGCTTCCAACGACGACGCGACTGCACTTACAACAATTATAACAGCAAAAATTACAGATGCATCAAGCACATAACGACTAATGATTCGTTAAACTCGAAAAGCAATTTTCTAATAAGCAAAAGGTACTTTAATTATATATTAATTACTACTATTTAAAATATTATTTCATTAACTACAATTAATTAAATTAATTAAATTAATTACAACTACATTACTTACGACATTACATTAATTAATTAAATGAATTAAATTTTAAATATTTCAAAATGGCAAAAAGAATTTATATTCACCAATATCCGATGGATAATTTTTACAAAGAGATTGGTGAATTTTATAGTTATGTCAAATTTCTCAATGTTTGGAAAATAAAAAAAACTTTTGAAGAACGGTTTGATGAGTGTATGTATTTTAATACAACGTTTTTTATTATTATTATTTATTGAATTTATTCAAATTAATTGATTAATTAATAAATCAATAATTAATCGAATTGAATTAATTGAATTAAATTTTAATTAAAAAAATAATTTTTTCAGTATGGATAAATAGTACAATTTCCGAGAATAGAATATGTATCGAGCGTTTGTTAGAAACATTGGAATTGCCAAAAGATTTTCTTCTGCAAGAAAACTTTTGTACATTGCTCAAGGTTAGCTAATATTAATAAAAAAAAAATAATAATAACAATAATAATAATAATAACAATAATACAATAGTAATATAATGTAAGATACCTATAATGATCATTTACTTGATATGCAAAGTTTAAAGCTTGAAGATATGATAACAAAGCTTACACTTTCTTAATAATTTATTATTTTCTTTTATCAATTCTAATTGTTGTTTGGAATTTGTAAATTCTCCAAATATTCTTATTAAAAAAATTATTATTATTGTGTTATATTATCACTATTTTATGTTGTTTTTGTGAATATTGTAAATATTACATATACAGTAATTACATCTTGGTTAACTTTTAAATTATACTCATTTATATTATTTATTATTATTCATTATAATTTATATTTCTTTAATAATTTAGTCACCCGGATACGATAAATGTATATGAAAGATGTTAATACGGAAATTGGATTCTATTTAACATTATTATATATGTTAATTGAAGTACATCGAGGTGATGTATTTTATTGATTATCGATTATAATTTTTGACTTTTATTAATTAATTATTTGTTAATTTTTATTAATTAATTTTTTGTTATTTTTATTAATTAATTATTTGTTGATTTGTTTATTTTAAATAACAATAACAAAAATAAAATTAATTATTTAATAATAATCTAGTCAACTTGAATTTACCAATGACCATATTTCTCTTTGATCTAATTGCTTCACTAAGAGAAAATGAAAAAAATGCCAAAGGTTATCCTGTCAAAAAGTTTAAATTTTTTCTGTGCAAATTTTAGTATACAGTTTTCTAATCTATAGCTTCTCGATGGATTAGTATTCCTTTCCAGTAACTTTTTACTTAGATTGGTCAAAAAGAGATGGGCGGGGGCATAACCATCAGTTGTTTTAGGTAACACTACATCAGGAAATTTTTTTGGACATAATATTCCATAATTTTGACACAGTATTAAATTTCCATAATTTTTTGTATAATATTATGGAAATTTTTGAAAATTTTTGAAAATTATTGAAATATGAAAATTCTGTAATATTACGGATATTTTCTTCCGTAATTTTAATGCTTTCAAAAATTTATATCTTTCTTTATAATTTTTTTTATTTGTATTTGTAAAGCTTTATGCATCAGGAAATTTTTAAGGGTGGATAACTCTGTAAGTTTACGGTGTTGACCCTATTTCTTTATTTTTTATATTTATATATATTTTTATTATAACATATTTTATTTTTATTATTTCATTATTATATTAGTATTCCATATATGTATTATTCTATTTATTTTTAGTATAGTATATTTATATTCTTGTATCACCTTATTAGTATTTGTATAACAAAGGTAAAATACCTCTAGTAGCTACTGGTAAAATACCTAGGTAAATTACCTCCAGTATTAATAATTGCGTTGGAATGTTATAGAAACTTCCGGAGTTTTCTTGAAGTTAATAATTATAGTTTGCGATACGGTCCAAATTTCATATAAATAGAAGCTGTTTTTGCTCCTCTTGAAAGAACAGTTGACATAGAATTGAATATTCTAATAACTCAAAATAAAATATTGTTTATAAACTGATATCTTT